GCTGAGGGTAAAGGTGATGGACTGGCCAAGCATGTCTCCAGACCTAGACCCTATTGAGCATCTGTGGGGCATCTTCAAAAATGGAAGGTGGAGGAGCGCAAGGTTTCTAACATCCACCAGCTCCATGATGTTGTCCTGGAGGATTGGAAGAGGACTCCAGTGGCAACCTGAGAAGCTCTGGTGAACTGCATGCCCAAGAGGGTTAAGGCAGTGCTGGAAAATAATGGTGGCCACACAAAATATTGACACTTTGAGCCTAATTTGGACATTTTCGCTTAGGGGTGTACTCACTTTTGTTGTCAGTGGTTTAGACATTAATGGCTGTGTGTCGAGTTATTTTGAGGGGACAGCAAATATACACTGACATAAAATGGTGTAGCACTAATAAGTAATAAAATACATAAATATACATGTGCATAACACAAAATAAAGTGATATGATCCTCCCTGGATCCAATGGTGAAAAATTAATATTAAAGTAATAAGTGTCATAAACACACTTAACCACATATGACCATCAAAATATAGTGAAAAAATAGTGTATATACATACAGGAACTACAGTCCGCGTATAAATGTCCAATTCAAAAAACTATACACGTGATCCACAAACGAAGATCATGCAACGTGATGAAGTGAAACTCGTGATCACAGCAGTGGTGTAATATCCTCAAACGGCCAAAATGCCCCCTCACCTCCTTATGGCGACAAGGGCCAGCTCGCTTTTTGGATCAACCACAATCCTTACAGGAACTAATGCATCACAGGGAAATAACCGAACTGGATCTCATCAGTGGTAGCACTTACTCCTCCTGGGTTCCCTCCAGATACAGATAACTGCAATATCGCTCGCTGTCCCATCAAAGGATCATATCAATGAAACAAAAAGATCCTCCATAGTGTACTCCAGTTTTATTATGCAAAACAATAAAAAAAATGCCAATATGCCTACTCACATGTTAGCCTTAGAACAGCCTTTCACCTCATGCTATGGGTGCACTGCATGGGTATTCTGGTGTACTAGATGGCGCCCACGCCAGAAATCACGTCACCGCATACCAATGCATTACGTAACGCTAACCACGTGACTTCATCAGGATATCCTCAGGAGGGTAAGTGGTTAAAGCCGACCGAAAGTCACCACACTTTTAATTTAAAACATCAGCATTTTGCAAATTCAACATAAGCTTATTTAAAAAAATCTACGTCTTTGTCCCAAGTGGTTTTACTATCTACTGGCCATTTCTTTCATCAACTTCCAGGATTCTTGTCATGGGTTTTGGCTTTTCCTCTGCACATCCCTTTGCTTTACATTTGTTTTCTAAGCTCATGGTACATTGCTGCCTAAAGCAGCGATTCCTGTACTAAACGTGTCTCCTGAAAAGTCTCCTCAGCACCCTGGAGTTGACAGCAGGCTGTGTGAAATAGCAATGCAAGTTCACAAGGCATAGTAAATGTAGGATTCTTCAAAAACAGGAATTGTGACTTTGTACATTTAAATTGGTATTATCATTATTATACAGGATTTATATAGCGCCAACAGTTTGCGCAGCGCTTTACAATATAAGGGAGATGGTACAATACTTTTCAGTACAGGAGGAATATGAGGGCCCTGCTCGTGGAGCTTACAATCTAAAGGCATAAACCATGGGTTATATGCTACCATCTGGTGGTTGAGAACTGCCGAAAAGTTTTGCTAGCGTCCCCGCTAAGGCATGCTCAAAATCCAGCCCACTCCATGAGATGCAAGTCTATTAGCAAGCAGTAAGGAGTGATCAAGTCAGAGAGGGCACCTTATGGCACTGTTGTCAGGGACTCTTTCCATGTCTTTCTAAACATTGAGATACTTGCCTATATATGTTCACGGCACCTCCGTGGGCACCACTCGCTCTATACGTAAAGTTGTATATAAGATATGTAAGCTTTTTTTTTCTTCTCACATCCTGTGTTTGGATAAGACATATTTTATATAATACATATATATACAATATATATACATATATATATATATATATATATATATAAATAAAAAAAAGACGGGAGAGACCTATGTACTGTAAGAAAAGGAATTTACAGACAAGTCAAAATTCCTATCGCAATCATACAGTACAAGACACAGAACTGGAATTCACAGACCATAAGACACACCCCAGCAATGCATCTCAGTAGTAGGTAACAATATATCAACATACAGTGGGGATCGAAAGTTTGGGCACCCCAGCTAAAAATTTGTATTAATGTGCATAAAGAAGCCAAGGAAAGATGGGAAAATCTCCAAAAGGCATCAAATTACAGATTAGACATTCTTATATATGTCAACAAAAGTTAGATTTTATTTCCATCATTTACACTTTCAAAATAACAGAAAACAAAAAAATGGCGTCTGCAAAAGTTTGGGCACCCTGCAGAGTTAATATCTTGTACTGCCCCCTTTGGCAAGTATCACAGCTTGTAAACGCTTTTTGTAGCCAGCCAAGAGTCTTTCAATTCTTGCTTGAGGTATCTTTGCCCATTCTTCCTTACAAAAGTCTTCCAGTTCTTTGAGATTTCTGGGCTGTCTGTCACGCACTGCTCTTTTAAGGTCTATCCATAGATTTTCAATTATGTTGAGGTCAGGAGATTGTGAAGGCCATGGCAAAACCTTCAGTTTACGCCTCTTGATGTAATCCCCCGTGGATTTCAAGGTTTGTTTAGGATCATTATCCATTTGTAGAAGCCATCCTCTCTTTAACTTCAGCTTTTTCACAGATGGCATCAAGTTACCATCCACAATTTGCTGAAATTTTATTGAATCCATTTTTCCTTCTACTCGTGAGATGTTCCCTGTGCCACTGGCTGAAACACAACCCCAAAGCATGATTGATCCAACCCCATGCTTAACAGTTGGACAGAGGTTCTTTTCATTAAATTCTGTGCCCCTTCTTCTCCAAACGTACCTTTGCTCATTCCGGCCAAAAAGTTCAATTTTAACCTCGTCAGTCCACAGAACTTGTTTCCAAAATGCATCAGGCTTGTCTATATGTTCATTTGCAAAGTTCAAACGATGATTTTTGTGGTGAGGACGTAGAAGAGGTTTTCTTCTGATGACTCTTCCATGAAGACCATATTTGTACAAGTATCTCTTTATAGTGGAATAGTGTACCACAACTCCAGTGTCTGCCAGATCTTTCTGGAGGGATCGTGCAGTCAAACGTGGGTTTTGAATTGTTTTTCTCACAATCCTGCGAGCTGTTCTGTCTGATATTTTTCTTGGTCTTCCAGATCTTGCTTTAACTTCCACTGTTCCTGATGACTGCCATTTCTTAATTACATTCCGAACAGAGGATATTGACATCTGAAAACCCTTTGCTATCTTCTTATAGCCTTCTCCAGCTTTGTGAACGTCAACTATTTTCAGTTTCAGTTTCTAGACAACTGCTTAGAAGAACCCATGGTGCTGATTGTTGGGGCAAGGTCAGATGAGTCTGGGCATTTAAAACCTTTGAGATTGACATCACCTGGTCTTCCCAGACGATGATTGAGAACAATCCATGACACTGGCAGGTCTCAGCTTGGCAAAGGGGGCAGTGCATGCTATAAATTCTGCAGGGTGCCCAAACTTTTGAAGACGCCATTTTTTTTTGTTTTCTGTTATTTTGAAAGTGTAAATGATGGAAATAAAATCTAACTTTTGTTGACATATTATAAGAATGTCTAATCTGTAATTTGATGCCTTTTGGAGATTTTTCCATCTTTCCTTGGCTTCTTTATGCACATTAATACAAATTTTTAGCTGGGGTGCCCAAACTTTCGATCCCCACTGTACTTCCAAAAGAGAAACAAGAAAAACAAGGGTTTAAGGAACCCGACCAAATTCTCAGATAACAGCTTGAAGCACTTTGTGGCTGAAGCTCGCATCAACTGAGGCCTGAATGTCCACTTGGTAGAACTTGAAGAACATGTGAACAGAGGGCCAGATGGCAGCCTTGTAAATCTACAATACAACAGCTTGCTGCTAAAAAGCCCAGGAGACATCCAAAGCTCAGGTAGAATGGCCTTTGATGGAAAAGGAAGTAACCGTTTTTCCTTAATGGTGTATGCCCTGGAAATAAGTTATCTGATCCACTGGCAGTGGAGCTGGAGGTAGGGTGTCCTTTGAGGGCCAGCGGGCAGGGCAAAGAGGGACTCAAGCCTCACAATTAGAGGTTATAGCTTTCAGGTAGACCACGATGGCCTCAACCACAGCAATGTAGAGCAATTTCCTTGTCATGCTTTGGGGTGGACAGAGGGGAGGGGGAACCATGTCTTTATTGAGGTGACCATAGACCACCTTAGGCAAAAAGGAAGGTTGTAGTCTTAAAATCCACTCAGTCCCTGTATGAAACAGTAAAGTTTCTTTACAAGATAGAGCTGCTAACACTGAAACACACCTGACAGACATGATGGCAGCTTTCCAAAGGAACTCCTCTATTTGTTTCAAATGAGGGTCTTTGAAGAGCAGATAGCACCAGGTTGAGATCCTAAGGTGATACTGGAGATCAAATTGGAGGAATGATACGAGCAACTCCCTGCAGAAAAGTACTGATAAGGGACTGCGAGGTAAGGGGTTTATGAAAAAAATTGAGGCAGAAATCTGTCCCTAGAAAGTACTCAGGGCCAGACACTGGTTTTAAATACCACCAAAAAAAAGCTCTATTTGTGTGAAAAAATAAAAAATTTTCATACGAGTACCGTGTTTGCATGACCGTGCAATTGTCATTCAAAGTGCGACACACACAGCATATTCAGTAATGCAGAAGAATCAGCACAAATGGACACATCCTCCTGACAAATTAGGTACCTTGTTCTGATTTTTCTGTTTGTGTTTTTAGCTGCTTCCCCTACTATGTAACTACGTAAAACATCAAACTTACAGCAAAGATCCACCAAGAAGTTTTGACAAAGAGGCAACAATACGTTTTTTTGGTTTGAAAATTTTATTTCTGATATTCCTAGAAAGTTAAGCAGTCTTGGCAGCCCGGAGAGTGTTAGACGCGTGTAGTGCGCTTCTTTTTCACCACAACTGGCTTCTGACTTTTCAGGATAGCACTGGCACGACGAAGAGCCGCCTAAAAATAAATACAAATCAATGATACTAATCACACATACCTAAAAATTACCAGTTATGAATCTACAATAATGTCAAACACATGAACCAAGCTGTACTGAACATCCCCTTAGCTGTGTCATGCATCAAAGTACCTATGCCTCTGCACCACACATCTATACCAGTGTTTCTCAACCACTGGGCTGCAATCTTCCTCCTTCTGGGCCAGACTGACAGATGTCAACGACTGAGCCTGCAGTAACTTTCAAGCCACAGCTTTCAGTATCTGTGTTTGCAAAGTAGGCAGTTGTGTGTGCCTGCAATGTAGATCCTGATGGCTGCAGTATGACAACTACAGCCATCAGTTTATGTCCCCCTCCTAAGGCAACCCTTCCTCCCCTACAGCAGCTAAAACGTGAATTTCGTGTGGGGCTCCTCCCACACTGTCACATCATTCATTCACATAGATCTGTGAATGAATTGCAAGTTCTGTCTGCCTCTGTGGCACTTAGTTCTCAATGGAGCACAACTACAGTGATGATCACACTCATGGTCCATTGATACATCCTCCAACTCTCAAACTGAAAAGCTCTGTGCGGACAGGGAGCTGGAAGAGTGTGCAGAAGCCTGTGCTTTGCACCAACAATCCACTGATCACAGCTGCAACACTTTGCATGCTCATTTGTAGAGAAGAAAAAAAAATGAGGAATTTTTGGGTGCATTTATTTTTTTGCAAAAGGTGGACTAAACCTTTATTACAGCAAAAAAAATATGGAAGATCAAGCATGTGAAACTGTCAAATTTACCTTAAAAAAATTCCAAAGAAAACACTGCAAAAATGATAGCTGTATTAAACCCAAAAGCAAACATTTACAAACATTGTAGTTTACGAATTTCTTAGTGGCGATGGCGCATAGTTTTTTTTTTTTAGGATCTCTTTCCTTTATTTTCACCTGGTGATCCTGCCAGTAGGTCAGTAAGAGTGTATAGACAAACCGTTTACTACTAACAGGGGTGCTTACAATGGTCAGGTTTTATTTAACTCCCTTGACGCTGGCATCTCCGGCCCTTTAAGGGGTTTGTGACCCCTGGGAGGTGGGGCAGGGTTTAGGGTCATGTGACCGCCATGATTGGCTGTCATGACTGTCACATGATCGGAAAGCTCCCGACCGCAAGTAGTGATCGGGATCTTTCTGTGAGGAGTCGGTGAATGTGTCGGGAGCACACAAGGGTGCGCTTTCGGCAAATGTTTTGTTTACATTGGGTTCACAAAAATATGCAGCCCCTTGGCGCCAAGACACAGCCACGTATCCTCGGCACCACGGAGTTAATGTAAAATCGTTAACCCAAAAGGAAATAAAATGCTGCTGTACCTGCTTGAAGAGAATTAGCTGGAGTTCAGCTTTGATTTGTCAGAACATCTAAATCTGATAGTACATCTAACCATACACCCCCCCCTCACCCCCAGATTACAATGCTGCTGTCCAAAAGGTGTCTTTGTTGCTCTTCCATCCAGAGTACATTCGACCAAAGACATTATTACTGGCCAGATCACCTGGTGAAAATTGAGGGAAAAGAGCCTTAAAAAATTAATGGCGCCACCACATTTAAAGTGTTACTAAACCCAAGACCCTGCATTCTCTCTATCTGGTCTCCTACAGTACACAGAACATGGAAGTGCAATTATTTTAGTACATATAAACTGCTCAATACCATTTCTCATCAGCAGTTAGAGCAGTCTTGTGACTTCTATCAGTGTTCAGCAGAGCACTGGTTAAAACTTGCATGAGTTTTCTTTCTGCTCTAGGATGCAGAACCCCTGACCTCTGTATGGACAGAGCCATTTGGCCCTGTGTGCTGATCACATGCACTGTCCCAAGAAAAAAAAAAAAAAACCTTTCTAGCAACACACACCAACTAAGCATGTGCAGTGTCTCCACACTTTGTCTTATCAGGAGATAAGAGGGGGACACTGGAGGAGAGCATCAAACAGCATTTTTACACAACGCAGAGGATTAACCCCTTAGGTTCCACAGTGAGTATATCAAGCATGCTTTTCTGCATATACAGACTGATTTTACTGTTGTGGGTTTAGTAACACTTTAAGGATTGGTAAGCGGCTATATATGCAATTTTTGGATTTGTGTTTATTAGTGTTTAGTCTGGGTTTTCTTTCACTCTAGATTTGGTATGCCAGTTTTAAAAAAACCTGTAATAAAAACATCAGATTTAAAAAGAAAAATGGGCTAAGAGTACACTATACTTACCGTATATACTCGAGTATAAGCCGAGTTTTTCAGCACATTTTTTGTGCTGAAAAACGGCCCCCTCGGCTTATACTCGAGTCAACATCTGCAGATAGTGAGGCTCCGTCAAGGGGGGCGCGTACAGGGGTGGGCAGAGGGCTGCTGTCTCTTACCTGGCTCCCGATGATCCATCCAGGAAGCGCTGCTCCTTCCGTCACTCCGGCCACTCCCTCACTCCTGCCGCTCGGCTCCGCCTCCTCACCGGTGATTGGCCGCCAGAACTGTAGCTCAGGAAAGGTACATAGGCGGCCAATCACGGGCGAGGAGGCGGAGCCGAGCGGACCCACGAAATTGAGTGAGGGAAAAGCCGGTAAGTGTGCAGTGCAGAGGTGCTGCTACCACATATGCTGGCTGCAGCAGCACCATACTGCAACAGGGGTCAGCAAGTGTCATTGGTGTCAGTGGGAGGAATAGTGCCGCATCATTGGTGTCACTGATACTAATGATGGGGCACTATTCCTCCCACTGACACCAACGATGGGGCACTATTCCTCCCACTGACACCAACGATGGGGCACTATTCCTCCCACTGACACCAATGATGGAGCACTATTCCTCCCACTGATCCTAATGATGGGGCGCTTATTCCTCCCACTGACACCAATGATGGGGCGCTATTCCTCCCACTGACACCAATGATGGGGCGCTATTCCTCCCACTGACACCAATGATGGGGCACTATTCCCTCCCACTGACACCAATGATGGGGCGCTATTCCTCCCACTGACACCAATGATGGGGCGCTATTCCTCCCACTGACACCAATGATGGGGCGCTATTCCTCCCACTGACACCAATGATGGGGCGCTATTCCTCCCACTGACACCAATGATGGGGCACTATTCCTCCCACTGACACCAATGATGGGGCACTATTCCTCCCACTGACACTAAATGATGGGGCGCTATTCCTCCCACTGACACCAATGATGGGGCGCTATTCTATGATGGGGCCTCCCCCACTGACACCAATGATGGGGCGCTATTCCTCCCACTGACACTAATGATGGGGCACTATTCCTCCCACTGATACCAATGATGGGGCACTATTCTCCCCACTGACACTAATGATGGGGCACTATTCCTCCCACTGACACCAATGATGGGGCACTATTCCTCCCACTGACACCAATGATGGGGCACTATTCCTCCCACTGATACTAATGATGGGGCATTATTCCTCCCACTGATACCAACGATGGGGCACTATTCCTCCCACTGACACCAATGATGGGGCACTATTCCTCCCATGATACCAATGATGGGGCACTATTCCTCCCACTGACACCAATGATGGGGCACTATTCCTTCCACTGACACCAATTTTTTACATTGACTAGTAGGTGCCTCATTTCCCACCCTCGGCTTATACTCGAGTCAATAGTTTTTCCCAGTTTTTTGTGGTAAAATTAGGTACCTCGGCTTATATTCGGGTCGGCTTATACTCGAGTATATACAGTATTTTAAGCAGAACCAAGGTTTTGATTTCTTTTTCTTTTAAGTAAAACTATAGGCAATACTTTTTTTTAATTTTAAATAGAGTAAGGGAGGGTTATAAAACCTGTACTTTTTTTTTTCCTCCATCCGTGTTCCATTGCGAGGATTTTCCTTCACAGGAAGTGAGAGGAAATCCCTCTAGTAAGGGAATTCCTTGGGGACCCCCAGGTCACCAGAACTAGTGTCCCCATTGGAAGATTTCCCCTCTATTACAATTTTGGGGACAACCCAAAGTTTGGGCTTTTCTTTTACTTTCACTTTGAAATATGACAATATAAAAAATCTGCTAACTATATATTGGCAATGATTGTCAAAGGAAGAAATTAGATTTATGTTGGGGAAAAAAAAAACTACATTGCATGTTCACAGCACTAATGACTGATTAGCACATCATCCTTTATTCACACAAAGAACTTTGCTATAGTAACATAAATCAAAGAATATCCTTCAATCTGACCATTCAGTAATTTGAATAAGCTGATGAACTAAGCACTGGCTGGCCCACCAGCCACTAGGCTACAACAACAAGACCCATCGCCTGCGGGTTGCACCCAAATCAAAGTTCTGTAGGCTTCAGAGTAGCAGTAAAGCTTTAGACCCCAATTTATGGTTCTAGACATAAGGATTTTCATATTTTGGTATGCAAGTCAAAAAGAATTCCCTTGAAAAACATGATCAAATTTTAGAGGCCTCTGCTTATCTTTGCTTTTTACATTTGCCACTAAAGCATGGTAAAGAGGAATCCAAAGGCATACATATTCAGATCTGAATAAAAGTGGGGTTAAAAACCTGTTGAAATTTCCACTCATGTCACTAATCAGTCACAAAAAGCTTAGACAAAAAACATACCATACGCAGATCCCTCCTGTAGTTATTCTTGCGGATAATGTGGCGCAAGCTGCTGAGGGTGGCACGGGAGTTTTTGTTAATTGTGATTTTCTCATACGATGAGGCAGGTTTGCGCCGGCCTAAAAAAAAAAAAAAAAATAATTAATATTTTTGGGGGAAAAAAACAACTAATTTTGCAATTAAAAACATGTCCAGTAAACTTTTTTCTAAAAACAAATTGTCAAATTTAGGTCAAAATGAATTCTGCTACATGTCTTTGCTAAAATAAATCCCAATACGTGTAAATTCATTGGTTTACGTGAAAGTTATAGCATTTACAAATGGCGGTATATATACTGTTTTTTTTTTTTTTTTTTACTAGTAATGGCGGCGATCAGCGACTTAGATCGGGACTGATGTAGCCATTCTGACACTGGGGGGAACGGACATCCCCAGTGACACCAATACAGTGATCAGTGCTAATAAAAAGCACTGATACTGTACTTATGGCACTGGGCAGGAAGGGGGGGGTAACACGTGGGGCGATCAAAGGTTTAACTTGTGTACCGTTTTACTGTGTGCTGTACACTGTAAACACACTGCTTTGTATGGCTCTGCCATGCAGAGCCGTAAAAAGCAGCATGCAGGAGCTAACGGGAGAGATCTGTGTTTATACACAGGTCTCTCCCCCGTCGGTGATACTCAGCGATTGCTGGGTGCCGGCAGGGAATCACCGGCTGGGACCCAGTACAGACAGCCGAGGCAGCGTACAGTTGCAAGAAAAAGTATGTGAACCCCTTGGGATTACGTGGAGTTTTGCATGAATTGGGCATAAAATGTGCTCTGAACGTCATCTAAGTCACAACAATAGAATAACACAGTCTGCTGAACATAATACTACACAAATATTAGATGTTGCTATGGTTTAATTGCACATAACATGTAAACATTCACAGTGCAGGAAGGAAAAAAGTATGTGAGGCCCTAGCTTAATGACTTCTCCCAGAGCTAATTGGAGCCAGGAGTGAGCCAACCTTGACTCCTATCAGTGTGATGATATTGGATGTGTTGCTGACAAGCTGTCCTGCCCTTAAAAAACACACATCTGTTTTGGGTTTACTGTTTCAAGAAGCACTGTCTGATGGAACCATGCCTCACAGAAAAGAGCTCTCAGAAGACCTACGATCAAGAATTGTTGACTTGCATGAAGCTGGAAAGGGTTACAAAAAGTATCTCCAAAAGCCTTGATGTTCATGTGTCCACGGTAAGACAGTCTACAAATGGAGAAAGTTTAGCACTGTTGCTACTCTCCCTAGGTGTGGTCGTCCTGTAAAAATGACTGCAAGAGCACAGTGCAGAATGCTGCATGAGGTAAAGAAGAATCCCAGAGTGTCAGCTAAAGACCTACGGAAATCTCTGGCACATGCTAACATTTTTGTTGACACATCTACAATAAGGAAAACATTAAACAAGAATGGAGTACATGGGAGGACACCACGGAGGAAGCCATTGCTGTCCAAAAAGAATATTGCAGTACATTTGAAGTTTGTAAAAGAGCACCTGGATGTTCCACAGCACTACTGGCAAAAATATACTGTGGACAGATGAAACCAAGATTGAGTTGTTTGGGAAGAACACACAACACTATATGTGGAGAAAAAAAAGGCACAGCACACCAACATCAAAACCTCATCCCCACTGTAAAACATGGTGGAGGGAGCATCATGGTTTGGGGCTGCTTTGCTGCCTCAGGGCCTGGAGGGATTGTTGTCATTGATGGGGAAAATGAATTCCAGAGTTTATCAAGACATTTTGCAGGAAAACGTAACGACCATCTGTCCGCCAACTGAAGCTCTGCAGAGGATGGGTGATGCAACAGGACAATAACCCAAAGCATACAAGTAATTCAACAAAAACAATGGCTGCAACAGCACAGAATACGCCTTCTGGAGTGGCCCAGTCAGAGTCCTGACCTCAACCCGATTGAAATGCTGTGCATGACCTTAAGAGAGCGATTCACACGAGACATCCCAAGAATATTGCTACACTGAAACAGTTTTGTGAAGAGGAGTGGTCCAAAATGACTCCAGATCGTTGTGCAGGTCTGATCTGCAACTACAGGAAACGTTTGGTTGCGGTTATTGCTGCCAAAGGAGGGTCAACCAGTTATTAAGTTCAAAGGTTCACATACTTTTTCCTCCCTGCACTGTGAATGTTTACATGTTATGTGCAATTAAACCATGCACACACACACACGTGATTTTGCACAGCTGTGTCGCCCTGTAGCAGTATTTCTCCTATAGGGCGGTGTGAAAGCGGTTAGTCTTTCTCATTAAAGTATAAGTAAAGGCTCCTGAATGACAGTCTAAACAAGTATCAAATCCAGCTACTATGTGAAGCACAAGTCTCAAAAAAATTCCTTTACCCTCCTCGACTGAGTCAAATTCTACTCTTCATTTGTATCTCACACAATTCACCTCCCAGACACTGCAGCACAGTGGGAAGTAGGCATGCACTGGTGCCGAGTATTTTTATGAGTATACTCCTGATACCTTAAAAGATACTTTGCGGTGTGATTTGTGGACGCAAATTGCACCGCAAAGATTAGCATGCAATTCCTGTCCAAATCACATGCAGTTTCCGAAAGACTGAGCATGATCAGAAATAAAACAATCTACGCTACATTTCTACTTCAGCCAAAAAATAATTTAAAAAAAACCCCTCTAGTTTGAGGATGTTCATACAATTAGTACCATCCTCAGGTTCAACTTGCTGTGAAAAATCAGATGATCATTCATACAATTTTCTTATAGTGTGTGCCCAGCTTTAGAACAGCGATCTGTCAGTTTTTTATTTTTTGCTCAGCCAGCTGGGTTGAACGACAATAAAAAAAAAAAAAATGAAATATATATTTTTTATTATTTATTGTCTTATTGTGTGCACCAGGATTTAAGTGACAGTATCAAGCTATCTGCCTATGACAAGGGAGTCGGTCATGCAAAATATTTTATTACAGTCTTGTATGAAAACTGCAAAACAGTGTTTTAGGTCTTTTTTAATCTAAGAAATAAAAATGTTGATCTGAAGATATGTACCAAATTCAATCTCTAATAGCATATACACAGTGTATCTCTATTGTCTGTCATTCTCAGAGTGGATTAGATATTTTTCTCTCTCTAACCATACAGCTTCTTATTTTTATTTACCACTGCATATAGATATTCAAGAATAAACTGTCTTTTTTTAAAACTTTACATATTAACTAGATTATACAAACTTTTTTTGAAGTTTTTATCCAATTACCTGAAACAATAATTGGCCAACTAATCAATTATGAAAATAACTGTTAGTTGCAGCCCTAAAATCAGCAAAGTCATAGTAGTCAGATGGTTTTTTTATCTAAACACATGGTCTAAGTCACTAACTTAAAACACTGAAGCCAATAAAAGCTAGTCCATTAGTATTTTCAGGTGGGCTCAGCAACGGCTGTCAAATATATTCTCCTAATACAGGTTTCTGTAAACTGATACAAGTAAGCAGGAACCATCAAGACTAATTTATTCTAACAACTCCTTACCAGCACGCTTTTTCAAGACCACAATGATCCCCTTTCCATCAGCAGCAGGCTCAACACCAACTGTTTTCTTGTGAATCAGACCATTGTAGCGAAATGAGTTCCTGGCCTTCAGATTGTTTGGCTCCTAGATAAAAAAATTATACTGATAATTTGTACAAGTACAGAAATGGCTTTCAAACATTTCACAAAGTCCACCAATAACCAACATCTAAATGTATGACTACCCTGGTAAAAAAAAAAACAGGAATAGTTTAGGAGCTCCCAACAATTAATAGTACATATCTGCCCCCAACACTCCTAAAACTTGTCTATCTGGCAGGGGTGTAAAAAATGGTGGCTAAAGCCAAAATAGTCATTTGTATGCCCAGTTATAACACTGCTCATTCTATCTGTAACAATGCAGGGCCTCTTTATGGGATGAGAACAAGAGTCTGACAGGCACATTTTTTATGTGCTGTATACTGAGACATCTCAAGACAAGGATGTTACATTCTTTATGAGCCATCTCCAGATAAGAACCTGGGGCAGAAGTGAATTACTGTCTAAAGAAGAAATCCCAACAATTATTACTAACATGACGATGTAACCTAATTAGGCAATCATGCTACCATATTCAGGCGATGAAGAATTGCATTAGAAAATAGGAAATTAAATAAATTACTGCCCACTTGGGGTATAGTAGAAGAGTTTCATGCATAGAGTTTCAGTTCCATAGTAGAACAGATTCATGTATTTAAACCTGTACAAGAATGCCCTGTACTATAATAAACAATTCTTTCTTCCTAGGCTGACTGTAACAGGGTGAAAGTCCTTTGTTCACTTTCTTCAAGAGCTACTTTAAAGAGTCTTCAGCATCTGTCTGCTGGATACTGTTGATTTTTCAGCCAAAGTAACTGAAGACTCTCTACCTGCCAGTACAAAGTAAGTCTTCATTTGCAGGTGGAAGTTTTTTTTTTTTTTAATGTTTTCATGGAATGGCACATTTTTAAAATACATTTAGATATGTTAAAGAATCCTTTCAGTGTATTCAAGTGTTTGTGCTTGAATACAAGCTGTGCCACCAAGAGCTCTGATGCTCTTTAAAGTTTGAGCATAGTTTATGAGCCAATAGGGCTCTTCTGTGAATACAGAAACTAGATACAAAGCATCCTAAAACCTATGTCCCCTGTAGTAGGTATTCTAAAAGCTTATTCAACTGAGCAAAAGGCCTGAGATGAGCAATTGATGGGAATCAAGAGAGAAGCACCACCATCAATGGCATGCATGTATTGTCAAAATTCATCTTACATTTAGACCCTAAAAAATACTAACAATGCATCTTTTTTGAGCCACCTGGCTCAATTTATTTTCTTTCAACTGATAGAAAGTGTGCTGAGCACTCTCTCTATGGAAATGTGTATGTTGCCTAAAGCAGTACAAAATGTGTATGCTGCCAAAAGCAGTACAAAATGTGTAATATCCTAGGTAAAGTTATCCAAAAATATTCAATCTTTAACTTAGCTGTAGCGCAACAAAAACAATGCTCTTGTGTTGCTGTGATTTGCACATCATTCTTGCTTTATGTATCTTTCTGACTTAGCCCATGTGTTGCCAGCAAGAGAATTGTGTGACAGATTAATATTCACTGAATATTTTTTTTTTTAGTTTTCAGCTGGTGGCAAACTAGATTGAACCTTGGCAGTCTGACTATACTAAGCAGTGCTCACTCAAGACAGAGCTGGCTAACAACCAGTCCAAAGCTGACATTAAAGCCAAACACTGTGCACAAAAACATTCATTTGAATGCATTCCTCAATAGCCGCAAAGGATAAAAATCCATTGTGGGCACCAAATACCTTTGCAAACCCAATTTCCTTGTAAATGTAGAAGTGATAGTCTGTGCAAATCTGTGAGAGGCACCCAGTAATCTCCACCCACTACAGACTGCCTGCGGAAATTTACAGGAAGGGGCAGATACAAGACCAGTCACCCTGCACAAGAGGAGAGAGCAGTAGTGACTGGTCCTTAATACAAGAAACATATACAGAGGTGCAAGGTTTCACACTGGATTACTTCACAGATCTGGAAAAAATGCACATCAAGATTGAGGTGAGAATACAATCTTGTATTTAGACAATTTGCTTATCCCAGAGATGAGCTTTAAAGGCTAAGTTCACCTTTTATAGAAAAAAAGAGCACATCTCTTCGCAGGTAAAAAACATGCATTTATTTATTTGAACTCTGCAGCCTGTAAGGCATCAGCAGATCACAGGAGCAATGCCAGGCTCTTTCGGTACACTGTCCGCCTATACCTCCTGTATGGGCAGGCAGTTACTGAATTGAAAGATCAATGAACTACAAAGCGCACTCACCAGTGTCCTCAAAGTTCACTGACAACTGCAAGTCATCGGCCTAGTTGTAGTTCATTTCTTCACAGAACTCTGAGAATGAATGAAGTGGTCATGTTGGTGGAGCCCCGCGCGGTCACACTGTTTTTAAATCATATCAGCAAGTGTGGGGAAAAGATCCCCCGCCCCCTGTCACAGGCAGAACGTGCAGCATGTTCCAAAGGTGAATTTATCCTCTGAAAAGCTGTTTAAACAGAATGAAAAAAGCTCTACTTACTGTACTGTACACCTGCTTGTTTCTTTTGATCAGGAAACTGGAGCAGTTCCTGATGACCATCCACTGCAAATGAGCAGACATTTTCGGCACCTAGAAAACAAATTGTTCAGAATAGTTTTTAATATGCAAACATCAAACAGTAAGCAGGTAGCTTGAAATGGTGTTAAACCCAAAAACAGAAATATACTGCAGTTCATCAATCCTTAGATGTGGTGGCTGCATTGGTTTTCTTATATTTCTTTTACACTTTATTTTTACCATTGGATCCTGCCAGTAAGTCTGTTCATTCTTTTCTTCCTTTAACAGATTATGTCCAGCCAAAGTTGCAGTTAGAGGGTTGAGATAAACCAGTTAACACTGACAGACGTACTTAAAACCATTTGCTGTAACTGCTTAAAAATATGTTCGCTGAAACTAAACAATGTTAGTCATGTCCATTGAAATCTGCTAGTGCATCTAACACTACCCTCTGCCCAGACTGACAGTGCTGCTGTCCAAAGGTTTCTCAGTTGCTCTGCCATCCAAACTGGAGACATCCTAAGACATGAAGGTTGTTACTGGCTGAACTGAAAATAAAGAAAATCAGTCTTAAAAAAAAAAAAAAAAAAAAAAAAAAAAAAAGATTGCATCCACCCACCACATTTGAGAATGAACAAGCTGCAGTACGTTAAAATTTTTGTTTTGGGTTTATTACTGCTTTAAGAAATACACATTGATCAGGACAAAAAAGAAGGCTGAGGAAACAAAATTCCAAAAAATGAAGATGTTACAAGCCACTGGTTCTGATATACCAAGCACTCACACATCAGGTCCAGTTTCCCACTGTCCCCTGGGTATCCTAAATACAAAATTTGACAGTCCCATGATCAACAGCCTGATCCCACAGATTGCCCAGTATCAGTATTAGCCCATCACTGTGATGAGTGACCTCCCCACAGGCAGGGATAGTGGGCCAGGCTGTAAAGCAGAAAAGCTGTTTGATATCTGCATACCAGAGGCCCCTGGTATACAAGTGGCACCTAGGGGACCAATAGGAAAGCTAAGCGGACAGACCTGCATTGAACATTTGAAGCCTAACTCAATAAACTTCTCAGGGTTAAAGCAATCTGCTGTCATGTTGGCTTTACTCTTCATCTGTCAAACCTGCTCATTAACATGATGGGATTAGTACAGTCCCTTCTGTACTTCCAGCCCAATCGGATGTAGTGATGAAGTCATGACTCCACCCCAAAACGCAGCCCCAACAATATCTACAGGAAGAGACCAAGAGCTGGGGTGTAATGGAAGTAATTTCTACCGGCAATCTTTGATCTCTTTATTGCTTTTACTGAACATAAGCAGATCCTGCAGCAGGATGTCTCTTGTGCCGATGCCTCTTCTGCTGCTAGGTGTAATCTTCCATCCACGCCTCCCCCCTACCCATCTTCTGGTGTGGCAGGGGTTAAAGTGGAAATTAACTTGAAAGTTATACTTGCCTCCTTATTCCAGCAATAAGGCTAAATCTCTCACCGGTCGCTATCATATTCTACCTGGCTATTACTGGGTTTGCAGCTTGATTGGCCTGTAGCGGAATGACGTAACCACAGGACAGAGTGTCTCTCCAGCATAGCCGGAGTATGCCGAGAGTGCAGGCAGATAGTTCTTAACGTTGCCGCTCACTTCTGCGATAAGAGCTGCCTGCTCACGGAATTTTTATTATTTACCTTTGTTTCCACTAAGGGATCCGGGACAAGCTCATCTAAACAGCCTGACTATGCCGCCCTTTCCATCCAACTCCTCCACAGCTTCTATGAATGAAGATGGATCTATGAATAGAGGGGCTGACCTTCATCCATAGATCACAGTTGATTCATAGAAGGTTTAATACAGCTTCTATGAATGAAAATAAGGATCTAAGAATAGAGGGGCTGACCTTCCACTCACCAGCCTGTCCTCCATCCATAGATCACAGTTGATTAATAGAAGGTGTAGTACAGCTTCTATGAATGAAGATGGATCTATGAATAGAGGGGCTGACCTTCATCCATAGATCACAGTTGATTCATAGAAGGTGTAGTACAGCTTCTATGAATGAAGATGGATCTATGAATAGAGGGGTTGTCCTTCATCCATAGATCACAGTTGATTCATAGAAGGTGTAGTACAGCTTCTATGAATGAAGATGGATCTGTGAATAGAGGTTGTCCTTCATCCATAGATCACAGTTGATTAATAGAAGGTGTAGTACAGCTTCTATGAATGAAGATGGATCTATGAATAGAGGGGCTGACCTTCATCCATAGATCACAGTTGATTCATAGAAGGTGTAGTACAGCTTCTATGAATGAAGATGGATCTGTGAATAGAGGTTGTCCTTCATCCATAGATCACAGTTGATTAATAGAAGGTGTAGTACAGCTTCTATGAATGAAGATGGATCTATGAATAGAGGGGCTGACCTTCTACCATAGATAACAGTTGATTCATAGAAGGTGTAGTACAGCTTCTATGAATAAAGATGGATCTATGAATGAAGATGGATCTATGAATAGAGGGGTTGTCCTTCATCCATAGATCACAGTTGATTCATAGAAGGTTAAATACAGCTTCTATGAATGAAGATGGATCTACGAATAGAGGGGCTAATCTTCATCTATAGATCACAGTTGATTCATAGAAGGTTTAATACAGCTTCCAAGAGTTGAGGAGCTGGGCGGGTATAGCTGTGCTCTCTTAATGAGAGTCCATCACAACCACTTGGTTTTATTTAACCCCTGACACACCACAAGATTATGGAAAACGGAGAAGGATTACTACTAACAGAAAGAGGAATCAGCACACATTCTACCGTCAGTGCCAGGTCATGCTGCACACACGCTAAACTGCAGCAGTTCAGTGTGTTGGTAGCTGTCCATTCCAGCTGCAGTGACCCAGCAGTAGGGGGCAGTGTGATAGGTGTTTCAGCACATCACATAGTTAGCTTTTTAGCATCAACTTTATGTGAAGTTCACAAAGTGACGATTTGTTCATGTCACCAGCGTGTTGTGCTGTCCAGTGACATGTGATCCCTTCCTGTACGCGGAGATAATATGCAGCATGTCTACATGTATGGTAGATCACTGTGGAGCACCTCCGAGATGTGTTGCAGTGTGAACAGGACACATAGGGAACAATTGTTTCCTATGTCCTAGCGGCAACCTGCGTTCATCCAGCCCAGGAAGGAGCCAATCATCTATTGATGAACAAGTTCTGTCCCCTATGCGGATTGCTGGGAGGACAACACTGCGATCCCCTTCCCATAGATCACCGAGACCACACCGACAGGCCGCCCCTCACTGCCCATCCGGAGGACTCCTCTCCCCCCCATGGACACACAATGTCCGCACTGATATAGAAACCTCCACAGCGCTCTCTTGGCCGCTCGTATAGAGGACACCGGTTAGGTCGCCCGCCGCTCCGGGCCTACCACGTTCACCCCATGTGCTTGTATGAGCCCCGGCATAGCACCACGTACAGCGCTCCCGCCGCCACAGGACCGGCAGGCCTGACAACAGAGAGCGGCAGGGGGTGCAGCGGAGCCGTGTCCCCGCCATTACAGCCCCCCATCCCCCGGACTGGAGAGCCGCGGACACAGAACACTACCTCTCTCCGCTGGGCCTGGGGAAGGAAAGGAAGGAAAGGGGGCGGAGCCAGGTCTTATTTCCTCTTCACGAATCACCGGCCTCCCCGGATGTGATGTCATTACGTTAAAGAAAAGACCTGGATCGTCTGTAACGCCATATTTGAAAAGGGCAGAGCTAGGATTTGTAGTGTTCGGCTGCTGAGTGTTAATGCGATGGGGAGGGGGAGGAGATATTGTGGAACATGGAGTAACTCATCTCATGTCATCAGAAAACGTCAAACACGTAACTTATTTATTTATTTCAGGGATGAGCCGTACTTCATAGCATCCTGTATAGTGATTGGATAATGTTACTATATGATCCCTCCCATCCCTCTTCACTACCTCCTCCTCCATAGTCCTCTTATCCACCTTCACTGCCCCCCCCCCCCCCCCCTCCAATAGTCTTCCTTTCATCCACCCTCACTGCCCCCCCATAGTCCTCCTATCATCCACCCTCACTGCCCCCCCCCATAGTCCTCCTATCATCCACCCTCACTGCCCCCCCATAGTCCTCCTCTCATCCACCCTCACTGCCCCCCCCCCCCTCATAGTCCTCCTCTCATCCACCCTCACTGCCCCCCATAGTCCTTCTATCATCCACCCTCACTGCCCCCCAATAGTCCTCCTCGCATCCATCTGCACTGCCCCCCCCCCCCATAGTCCTCCTCCTCTCACCCCACCCGCCTCCTCTCATCCCCCCACCCCCCCCCCCCATAGTCCTCTCATCCCACCCGCACTGCCCCCCCCATAGTCCTTTCATCCACCCTCACTGCTCCCCCCATAGTCCTCTCATCCACCTTCACTGCCCCCCCATAGTCCTCCTCTCATCCACCCTCACTGCCCCCCCATAGTCCTCCTCTCATCCACCCTCACTGCTCCCACATAGTCCTCCTCTCATCTACCCTCACTGCCCCCCCCCATAGTCCTCCTCTCATCCACCCTCACTTCCTCCCCCCCATAGTCCTCCTCTCATCCACCCTTACTGCACCCCCCATAGTCCTCCTCTCATCCACCTTCACTGCCCCCCCATAGTCCTCTTCTCATCCACCCTCACTGCCCCCCCCCATAGTCCTCTTCTCATCCACCCTCACTGCCCCCCCATAGTCCTCCTCTCATCCACCCCTCACTGCCCCCCCATAGTCCTCCTCTCATCCACCCTCACTGCCCCCCCCCCCCCCCATAGTCCTCTCATCCACCCTCACTGCCCCCCCCCCCCCATAGTCCTCTCATCCACCCTTACTGCACCCCCCATAGTCCTCCTCTCATCCACCTTCACCGCTCCCCCCATAGTCCTCCTCTCATCCACCTTCATTGCTCCCTCCATAGTCCTCCTCTCATCCACCCTCAGTGCTCCCCCCATAGTCCTCCTTTCAGCCACCCTCACTGTTCCCCCCCATTGTCCTCCTCTCATCCACCCTCACTGCTCCCCCCATAGTCC